TTCCATATGAAACTGTGGAAATACGATAGATTCACTTCCAAGCTGATGGAAAAGCAAGATCCCGAGTGCTTAAGCTAAAAATATTCCCTTTTTGCACTCTCCTGGACGTTAATCATACATACTACTTAGCTGGAACCAAGGATAATACCTCGAATGAAATTTTCAACTTAGTGCCATCCAGCCCTGGTAAGAAAATTTCGCTTATCCTGGTTTTCCTTTTGAACAAGACAAGTTAAGTTTTAGCAAGGATAACTCCAACAACAACAATTCGCTAGGAATTACTTAATATAGGCAAGTTATCCGCGTAGGGCCCTAATTCTAAAGATGCACAGATCCCAAAATCGATATTCCTCGAGCTCACTAATAGCGTTTTCTTTTCTCGAAATAAGTTTTGCCCTTTTATACAGGAACTCTTGGTTTGCGCTGCGCTGAAACTTGAGAAAAAGTTCCGATTTTCATATGAGAATGAAACGAAAAAATGCTACTCCATCAGAAGTGCATTTATGGAACTTAATAAAACTCTCAGCCTCGCGTTTATTAGAGGGCAGAAAAGGTAGCACTTTTGTCGGATCAGGGCGCAATCTGCAGAGGAAAGAACACGTCGCGACGCGCTGTGAAAAGGCTGAAAATTTTGGCAGCGACTTCTTCGAGGTATACGAATATTGTTTTTTTTTTGTTATTGAATTGATTCACCTAATCGCTGGTGAAAGCAAAAGACGCACCCAGTGCGGGTGTTGGCAGTTTGTACAGGCTTCTGGTCACTGGACGTTTGACTTTTCCCGCCGGAGGATGTAGTGTAAACTATCGGCCAAAGTAGCTCGCGCCCAGCTCCGCAGCGCGGTCGCCGAAAGAGATTTCGACTTTGTCGTCACGCTTCGTCGGGTTGGACAGTGACCTCACGGTTAACCCAAGCTTGCTCATACCAGAGGTGAAGTTACTAGTATTCAGATGCTCACCTACGTGAACGTCAGTTGATGTGGGGATTGCAAAGAAGGTGCTTTCAGTGACCTTCGCGCAGCCGATCCAATCAGCTTTGAAAAAGTTGATCTAGGTTCGGTGTACCGCAGAAGCAAAGTCAGCCGGTTTATCAATCGAGAAGACTACGTCCTGATGCTAGAATCAGCATAGGCTATACTGTTTATCAGACCAGCGGTTACAACTGTTATGTCAGGCAGCCAATTTAGAAAATTTTTGGGTTTTATTGAACATACAATTTTAATCCAATGAAGTGCAAGTTTCAAACGGCGAACAAATCCGGTTGGGCTGTGCCAAGTGCCTACAAAAGCAATCAGCTGTACAGCTAAAGAAAGAATGAGAAGGGAAATTGAAAGACATAAAAAGAAAAAAATGTGAAAATAAAGAGTGCCAGGCTAAAAACTTTTATACCGCACTTATACAATGACACTTCTAAAGAAAAAGTAAATACATTTTTAAAAAGGTGTCGAAATTTGTAAACTAAACATTTCTTTCTGCCTAAGTACTTACCACGCATTGTGCCCCATACGGAAATTCTCTCTACTTACAAATGTGAGTATGTAGATATGTATTTGTATATGTAAGTATTTACAGCATAAATATTTAATTTCACGTGCTATGGGCAAATGTGGTATGTCTGAAATACATATATATATATATATAAATTACGGCGTTGCATATGCTCATGAATTAAGAACACATTTTAGTGTATATTTTCCTATATAAGAAGTTACATGGAGCTAAGGGATGAAACCAATATCGCTTACTTCTTTTTGTTCATCCTCACTCCTGCTGCTAAGTATAAGCAGGCTTCATTCATCGCAGGATTGCAAACAAACGCAGGTAACTAGCAAAGTCGCAAAGGTCTGGGCAAAGTCAGTAAAGGCAGGTAGTTTCCTTTTTTTATAGTTCTTTGATGTTTCCACAGCAAACTTGTTGAATTTTTTATAAGAGTCTGTATGTATGTTTATAAATGTGGTATGTATGCATGTATGTGTACGTCAACGGAATTAAGGTCAAACCTGAGGATATTTCATGCATTTGCCATGGTGTTGCGCAACGATTAAAAAATGGGAATAATGTTTTGCACATAATAGCAAGGAAAATGGGTATTAAGTTTCTGATTAGTGACTTACGGTAATGAGAATGTGTGTTGCTTACTGATGGCGTGGTTGTTGAGGAATTTCTTGCTTTGTGTGCGTTTTTACGGTGGTGATAAAAGACTAGAGTGTACATAGATAACGTGGTTAATCCGCCGCATTAGAGGATTATGCTGTGCTCTAGAGGACTAAGAACCATATCGAATGCAGAGCAGCGAATCGTAATAGAAAGAAATATAGAACAGGTTTCACATATCCTTGCATTGTACCAGTAGGTATTTATATTTTATTTATGGAATTTTGAGCGTGTAGCGGATTCTCTATGTTTATCAGATCACATCGGATTGATTTGCCTTTACTATAAACAATTAGGTCATGTATGTATGTAGATCTAGATGCTTGGATGATTGCAGTGCTGATAGCGGCTGTCTAGGCTAGAATTAACGCATTTTGGTGCACTTCTCGTGGGCATTTTTGTTTTCTAAGTTAGTAAATTTTATATTGCTTGTTTAAACTCTGGTATCTCTGACAAATTTGCCTACTTTGCTTGCCGTAGCTCTTGATAGTCTTGCTGGGTTACTGTGTGTTTTATAATAAGGAAATTTTGGTTACTTCCATGCTATCTTCTAGTGGACAGGCGCGCGAAGTTATATTACAGGAAAGTTCTTTTCCTACCGCATGTTGGCCAGAGACCAGTGCCTTTTGATGTTTGCTACTATCAGTCCTTGATATGTTAAAAAAACTCGAGGCCTTTGTATTTACTATTCCAGTGAACCCAGAGTTCCTTTGATAATTTTTAAGTCCGTATACCAACTATTCCGCCGTACCGCAGTAAATTTAAATTAAATATAGTAAAACAGCTTACTTAGTTTTGTCACCAACGTCAGGACATTTTTAAAAGGACATTGAAATTTGAAATTTCAAAGATGTCATTATTTCAAAAAATTATTTCAGAATTCTGTGCAGTGTAGAATAACAATAAGGGTATCAAATAAAATGGAAAATTCTGAGAAATTAAATTTTGTGGCGAATAATGACGCATGGATATGGAAAATTTTCGTTTAAAACGTTGTCCTTGAATATCCTTGAAATTTTGGAATATTTATTTTTTAAAAAATTTTATATTAAAGACTGATTAGCACCCGACCACATCCTCAGATTTCGTCCTCCTAACTTTATTAGCTTAAAAAATGAAACTAATTAAAAGCGCATTTTCAATATCTATTCATCCTTATAAACCAAAACGTTTAACGATTTTAAATGCAACAGAAAAAAATCCTGACCTCACTGTGAAAAACTAAAAACGCAGTCTTACTATATTTGGCCCATAGTTGCGTGAGTTTATTGATTGTTTCGTGTGTTTTGAATTTTTGGTTTTGTAGCCGTATAGCATCTGTTTCCAGAAATTGTATCACCTTTTTCTAGGCCGTTCATGGAGACTATTTTCGTTTTGGATTATTTCGAGAGTGCATGCTAGTTTTACCGCTTCAGATTCATCCTAACAGGCCAGCTTCCGTCAATTCCTCAGCTATCTCATTGCCTTCAATGTTCCTATGTTCGGTAACCCAGACAAGAGAGACGATCCTTTACTGAGTCACTGAGCCTAATTCCGACTCCGAAGAGCGATTGTACATATTTTTATGAGAAGCTGATTTTCATGGCTGAAATACACTCGGAGGTTTGCCAGAAAAAAAAACTTGTTTGCTTATTTTATTTTTTTGATTTTGTGTTAAATTGGGCTTGAACCCAGGCCCTGTGGATTGGTAGCGAAGAAGCTACTCTTAATAACGTCGTTTGGCTCTAAGAATATACTGTTGTTCTGTTTTTATTTCCAATTTTAGAAGCTTAGATTTTAAAGGCTTCAAAGTTACTTAGAACCTCCGCTTGGAAGGTTCTTTATCCCATCTCAAGCGTAAAGGCAGAGCCACACACAGTTCCTCAGAATAGACTGTCGGTCCTTCACCGCAGTCCATCTTCAAAACGTCGGCGTAGAGAGAGAGAGGTGACGTTACTATTGATGTTAAGATTGGCTACCATATGCATATTTATGTAATCTGCGGTCCTTCCTAATCACGTTTTATTAATAATCAACCCAGACCCGAAAATTTCTAGTCCCCCACAAACCTTACTCTCTCTGAGTCTTTTGTTCGCCACAGATCAGTCTGCTGAACCTTAACGCACCTCTTACTGTCCGAAAGAGCTTTCCCCAAGCCTGTAACAATCAACTAACCGATAGCGTGGCTAATTCAGTTATTTTTTCGGAGTGAATTACTTACTAATATTCCCGAGAGGATCGTTTACTCCGCGCTTTGTTCATTAAGGGAACGATAAAGCTACATCGGCACCTTTCAGGCGTCCACTTCCACCCAAGATCTCTAGCTCTAGCATTTTCGTACGAGTGAAAGTTGAGAATTTGCCCCTCATTATACAAGTTCTTTAATTCTCTTAACTCTACTAAAATATGATGAGGCTAACATCTTGTTTTTACGAGAGATAAATTAAGTTCTTTGCTTTTCAATGACTTGGAATGATATTTTATTGATATCGCCTAGGTATTGGTGATTATTACGGCCTTCCGAAGAGAGTCTTTAAAAGAGTAGAGTAAGAATAGGACCAGACTAACAATGAGAACGATTTCTCGCTAGGTCTGCTATTCAAATTTTCAAGATTTAAGATCATACGACAATAGCTGGAAGCCAACTCATTTGGCAAGGATCTTCTGTAAAAAACTTCAGGACGAACTAATAATACAAAACATGGTTTTCCATCGCTCAACCTTCTTTGAGATCTCTATCTGAGACGAGAAAACACCTGAAATAGCAGTTTTCCTAAACTCGCATCTCACGTGAGCCAAAATCACTTTTGGAATGTATATTTCTCTCGTTTACTTTATCTTACACTATTTTTTTTTATCGCATCACTTACCTTTCCGCCTACTTTGAGCCCATAGCCCATTCCTTGGGGCGTCTTCAACTGCACCGGACACACAAAACCGATATTCCGATGCGGACCGTCTGCGTAATTTTTACGCGTCGTCACCTTTGGTATGCTGCGCGTTGGCGTCGGTGTCGACGAAGTTGTATTCTCAGCGACGCACAACGCCTCACCGCCATTCACTGGAAATTTCGAGCATTCCAAATTCTCAGGCCAATTGAAATTATATGTTTTCATTAGAGTTTCACAAATGCGCGCCGACTCACACAACGAACGACACGGCGGTATCGGCTGTTCGAGTATCGTACAAACCGGCACGTAAAGCGAGCAGAGGAAAAGTTGCAAATCGGGACTGCAACCAATTTTAACGAGTGGCGCAAATTGATGCACTTCCAAGCCGGCTTCCTCTTGCTTAGTGTGACCAATTAAATTGGGCATTATTGTCATGTTGTAGGGTATATTTTTACAAATCGATATTGTGATGGGTTCACAGCGATTGTGATGCGGAAAAGCGTCACTCGTCATCGCGGATGAGCTTATCATTTCACCCGACGCGGAGGTGCGATAGTAGGGACTAGCTTCCACCGGAGTTTGATCGTAACGATGCACAGCGGAAACGGGCGGCGGAGAACGGAGGAGTAGAACGAACGCGACGATTATGGCACATATGAGCGCGTTGTGACGGCATGCCGTCGGCATTTTGCGTGCACCGACATACATTTTTGCGTTGAAGTGATAATGGTGGTACAATTTATTTTCGATTGTAATTTACACTTGAGCTTTCGTTTAGCTCAATAGCAGCTAGCGAGCGCTTCGAAACACTTTTGTTGTTGGTTGTTTTTTTTTTATTACAACACTTTTTGGAAATCGAATAACGCTTCTTTACGAAACACTTGTAATTTTTTGGATTTGGAATAAATTTGCACTGAAGTAAAATGCGGTCAAGATTTTTTTCCTTTAAGAGACATCGCTGCTAAAATTTATTTTCTCTTAACAAGGAACTAAATTTTGTGTATTTTATTTTTTCTAGNGAGACATCGCTGCAAAAATTTATTTTCTCTTAACAAGGAACTAAATTTTGGGTATTTTATTTTTTCTAGCACTTTTTAAAGTATTCAAAATATTTTTCTGAATTTTATTATGCACACTTTTTTCTAATGTCTCCCAGGAATTTAGTCCAATAAGGAATTTTTTGATAATTCAAGGAACATCAGAACTTGTGGCACATTTGAAACACATTATTTCATCTGACTTAGCTTTTCAAATAAGGCTTTTGTGTATTATTTTTTACATTTTTCTAACGGTTATTTTTAATAATTTTGCATTACTGTTTTAAGGGCGAATTTTTTCATATGTGCCATATATATTTTAGACAAAAAAGTTCCAAGCTTTTTAAAATTCTTTTTTCACAAAAAGATTTCGTGTACCTTTTGTATATTTTTATTTTTTTATTTTTACACGAAAAAAACTTTTAACAAAATCTTCAGTTTAAAACTTTTGACGCCTTTTTGGCCCCGGACACTTTTCCCACACTCTTCTACGAATTTTTTTCCGTGTAAAATGTAGTTAAATATCTATAAATTTTTTTCTTTTATAATACTTTTTTATTTATTTTCAAATTTATAACTAATCCATTCATTCAAATTTTTTGAAAAATCTATACCTAGGTTTTTTCTCAAAATCGCATATGCACTACTTGGGAAAATATTTTTAGGTAGGTACCTAGTTGTTTTTTTTTTGTAAATTTGTTTTGAAACTAATTTCATAAAATTTTACACAATTTCAGTATAATCATATGCATTTTTAAAACCCAAAATCGATCGAAGAAGGTAAATATTATTTTTTTTCAGAAAACATTTTTTTTAAATTTGTACCTTAAAATTTCCAGGCCTAGATATTTATTTATTTTTGCCGAAATTTCATACCAACATTTATCTACCGCTTCAATGTTTGTGTCGTATTTTTCTTTCAATATTCGTCAAAATTAATAACTAATTTATTTTCTCACAATTTTCCCTTCAACTTACTGACGATCCTTTCCCCACCTACAGCATTCGATTTTTGTTTATACATACATATATACACATAAATAGGTAAATGCCACTACACAAATTATCAAATTCTTAAACTTTCTTCTTCAATTTAATTTTTATAATTTTTGATTTAATTTCCCGCGCACAACTCAAATTGGCGCTGAGTACACAAATCCTTCAAGAAGCCATCCTTCATTCACTTAGCGATGGTATCATCACACACCATCGACCAAAAACCGGCGGCAAAAATATTTGCCTTAAAACGTACACTTCACAACGACAATCACCAACCACGCACATCAAAATTCGCTTCCGAACTAAACTAGACAAGTTAAATGCGCGCCGTACAAGCGGCGAACTATGTGCATAAACAATGTAACCACTTTGAGAGCCAGAACCAAGTATGTGTAAAAGCGCAAGTTATGAAATATGTATACCTATGGCACCGTAAGTAACTTGTGCTTACTATAATAGCTATCGGTGGCAACAGATTTTATTGATTTTTTAGCATAATTTATATTTTAAGTAGCACTTGAAGATGTAAAAATCCTTAAAGGATTCCCTATCTACAGATTTTCTTATTTCCCACTTTGTTTCTTTACCTTGCCAAGGCGAACGCCTTCTACTTGCCTTGCGCTTATTTAATAGCTGAATATGAAGAGCGCATAAACAGGTTTGTTATTTTTCTAGCGCTCTCCACTTCAGTATAATTCTCCCTTGCTCTGCGCTCTTAAATGTGACATGCTATTCAGCTGTGCGACCTTGAATTAGGGGTTCTACTGGTTGGAACATGGCAAGCAGGTGGAGAAAGGAAGTTATTTTGGTTGATGAGAGTGTGTTCATATAGGGATTGAGTAAATTGGTGCATTCAAAAGGGATAAAATTCATAAAAAAAAATTTTTTCAATATTGTGATGGTTAGCATTTGATGGGCATCCATCCACATTTTTTGAAAAGATATTTGAAATCTTTCAATAAAGTAGTCCATCTGGCGAGTTTTAATGTACATTTTCTTAGTTTCCCTTATAGGTAGGTATTCATCTCGAAACCGGGCTACGGGCATCCACCAAGGCCCTCACAGAACATTTAGGACAAGACTTTTATACTTTTTTTCAGGTCTTTATTCAAGGACCGTATTTGTTATCAGGCAAAGACAAAGCTTGGATCTAATTTTTCAGAAGAATATCGGAATATTAATATCGTCTGATTTCCAAATGCGATTTGTGTATAAATCCTTAAAGACAACGTCAACTCTTGTTACATAAATGACATCACCGGAGACCAACTATCATCTATAAGAGACGAAAAACTTGAGTGCTTTGTTGGGCTCACGTGTCTTTGGCCCAACTCCGTTTGTCACACAGCGCATAAAACGAAGTTCCCAGGACGCATTATCTCACGAAACTACGAGATCCAATGGCCGCCGAGATCTTGCGATTTGACCCCATTGGACTTCTTTCTTTGGGGCTATGTGAAAAGTATAGTGTATCCCTGTAAGCCTGAGACGATTCCAGAGCCGAAGAATAAAATCTTGCGCGTTATAATTGATATGCAATCCGAACTATGCCAAAAATGTATGAAAAATTTGGACATGCCTGTGGAATCCTGGTGGGCGTTTAACGGATGTTGCGTTTCATACATAAGTGCTATTGATTAAAATACATAAGTGCTATAAAGAAAAAAATTTATTTCGACAAATTTTGTTGTTTTTTTATTTATCAAAAAAAAAATCATTTTAAAACTTCTGATCTGATGTGGTCTGACCCATCTGCTTTACGGTTCAGTGGATTTTCAAGGACAAAAACAAAATTGGTTTAGGTTCTCTCAGCAAGGTAGGAAAACTAAAAAAACATCGATGCAGAACTCGATATTTTTCAGCCAAAGAGCATATCAAGCTTTCCTACTCTTTTCGATAAAGGTGGTGAACAGTATGCCCTTTTTTGTGGCATTAATTGAATTGACTTTTAAGTGGTGAAGAAAAATCACATCTGATCACTCGCACAAGTTTCTCCCACCGAAAAAAACAGTATATTAAGCCTAACCATAAAGCACTTATCAATCGCCATCAAGATCTAAATCCGCTCACTCACGCTCCAGTATTTTAAGAGTAGGAATGATACTTGCTTTTGCCATAAAAGGAGGCACATCTTCCTCTCACATACCCACCCACCTTCTTCTGACGCAGCAAGACAATTTGCTCTTAAAAGCTAACAAAAAAAAAAAAAAAATGTACAAAAAATACACCGCACAGCAGACAACAAAATGCCAAAAGTTCGTTAACACGCGCTCAAACAATAGATAGCAACAAAAACGAGAATGGTAAAGCATAACAAAATATGCAAACAGCAGACAAAAACAACAGCACTTTTTTGAAATAAAGAGCACAATAGGCACCACAAGCAGTGTTGCCACGAACATTTTTTTATCTACCAAAACCTACCAAGCATTTTTTTAGCTTTATTTTTTCACTGTTAAGTTTATTATAACTGTAGATAATAGTAGAACCATAAGAGCTAGTTCAATAAAACAAACAAACTACGTAAACAACTAATTTTTCTGTGCAGGCTTATTCAAATGTATGTCCCTTTACACATACATATTATTATTGTCATTGTTATTATTACGTCAGGAATACTCGCGCTGCAACCTAATAGGATCTATTGTGCTAAACCCGGCCCACAAAACTTGCAATACGTATCTGGAGAAACGTCTCTTTATTCAAATGGGAGTTTAACTTGCAGTGTCTTCTCAGGATGCCAGTACGAACTCTAAGGCTCTCCCGCCTAAGCTCAAGGAGTCTTTTGGCGTTCAACCTGAAGGATCTTATGAATCTCTTTGATTGTCTCATTCCTTTCGACTTCCGCCAGTGTGCAGCAATCTGAAATTGTTCCAAGCCCATAAAAAGCTTTCTAATGTATCCTTTAGATGAACTGCAGAAGCGCAGACTTTTCTGGGATCTTCGATCCGTCGATATAACATACTTGCGACCGTTCGTCAATCATAGTTATTATCGCTTCACAGCAGTCCCTTTCAGGAATTCTGACATTGAAAGGTTTTTAGAAGGATAACTCGGGATCATTCAGGAATGGCTTGAGAACCTCCAAATGACCACGAATATTTTCACTTGTCATGCTGATCGTATTGGGCACCCATAGAGTATTCCAGCTGGCCTCTTTTTCAATCAGAATAGGCAAAGGAAGAATACCTGTAATGTCACCAAAGGCATCCGTTGGACTGGTGCGCATAGCTCCTGTGATGACCACGCGGACCAGTCGATGCAGCTTGCTCAAGGTGGCACTCGTGTTTACGTGGTTAGCTTTTGGCCACTATGGTAACAACGGTTTTTCCTACCGTATTGAAAGACGAGTATGCCAGTTTGGGTGATATTCCTTAAGTCTTGCCATGAACTCTCTGACAGACATAAAACGCCGTTGTAGCCAGCCTTGTTGGTAACGTTCGAGAGATGTTTGTTCCAATTGAGTATTTTGTTCAGAGTTACTCCTAGACACCTTTTCTGAGAACTCAATTTCTGTCCCTGCCAAGGTGGTTCTAAATAGTCAAGTTGACTTTCCTTATTTTGGTAAATGGGCAGTGGTGGATTTAAGTAGGTTTATTGATAAGCGCTTTTCAGCGCACCAGTCTTCAGTAAATGTGTAGTTTATCACAACTCCGCCGTTCAGTTATATACGGATATTCATATTGTATAGTATATATATATATAGTATATAGTATATAGTCCTATAAAAAACCTACCAGTTTTGGTAGGAAAAGGGCGATATGGAAACACTGACCACAAGCAATAACAAACACAAAAAATCAAACAAAAAGGAAGCTCCAAGTCAGTTCAAGCCGCAACCGAACAATGGGGAGACATGAATAGAAGTTGGAGCGAGCGTATACATACATATGCACATATATGTATATGTAGTTAGGCATGAAGGTACTTTTGCTGCACAACTTATTGTTTTGGTTTGTTTTACATTTAGCTGCTTTTTATTATTTGCCTTTACTTTGCTTATTTTGCCCCCGGTGGAGCTGGTTCTGTGCTCAATTACAAAGCGAAAGCAAATAAATAAAATAAATGCCCAGCAAAGAAGTCGGAACAGTTTTGTTTTTTATTTTTGGCTACGGCTAGCAGCAGAAGACACGCAAAATGCCGGCAAAACCGGTCCACAATAACCAGCTCCAAACAAAAGTCGCAGCCGTTTGGGGCAAAGAGCAGCAGATTTTGGATGTGCGGAATAAAGAGTAAAAGAGCTGAAAATGCCATTGAGCATACGGTGGGGAGAATAAAAGCCATACTTTTGCTCAGTTTACTTGTGTTGTTTGTTTACATTTTGCGTTTGCATTACTTTGTATTTAGTTGACTTTGCATTTGTTGACTTTGCATTTGTTGACTTTTCATTTGTTTATTTATCTTGCACAGCTGTTTACTTGAGTCTTTTTTTATTTATGGGTATTATGTATTTATTTTCATTTCATTTAAAAATTTAAATCAGCATTCTTTATATTAATTTTGTGGGGGTATTTCCTCCTGGCCTGGGGATATTATTGTCAACTTCAAAAAAGGCATGTTTTTGCCTTCTTGTCCTTGTCAGGGCAACCATCTCTCCTGACAACGCTTCACAGGGCAGACAATGTGCCTTTTTTTTGTCTAACATGAGTGTGACATTTTAAGAAACGAACAAAAAATTGTCTCACTCTTTGCCCTTAATTTAGAATCGAATACCAAAATCAAAATACGACATTTTTCCAGAGAAACAAAATCACCATTAGTTTTAAGTTCGACAGAAAGTCGAAAATGTCTATCGGAGACTAGCCAAATCTGGGCAGTGGCAAAGAATGTGTTCGATGCTCTCGACTTCCTCATCGCTAAGAACTCTGCGACAGTAGTAAATTGGCGGAAATCCCATTCTGCTGGTGAGCCATAAAGCAGTGGCCCGTAATGATCTCTCAAGCTGGAGTTGGGAGCGCCCCCCTTTGGAAAAGCGCTTGGGTACTGTTCTCAACGACCCAAGACGTCTCATTTTTATTTGAAACCTCGAAAAAATTCGTTCTAGGCAAGAGCTTGCGCGTTACCAGCGACACCCTCTCTTCATGGGAATAGTTTACAGGCGATGAGCATGTACTGATCTTAAAAGTTTTTCCGCTTCGCAAAAATATTTTCCTTTTTTAAATCGTTTTTTTTTAAATTAAATTTTTAGCTTTCATGGTTTTAAAAACTAAAATATACATATATATTTTTTAATTTCAATTAATTTTTAGTAAATATGTTTTTCTCTTTTCTCTAGTTATTATTTTTTAT